AGGGAGGGCTCTAAATTTTTCCAAAATCGGTGGTGGTGAAGAAACACTGAAAAAAGTTAGGAAACTCTCTGATCTTTAGAGAAAGACTGTCACTCCTTGCCCCTCTAGCTTCCTGACCTGTAGCCCTCCTTTCCCTTGACTGTACTTGGTGACTTCTTTCTTCTAATCCACCTACCATACCCCCATGACAATCCTGCTTTTGTCCCAGTGTCCCCTGGAATGGCTCTCACTGAAGTCACCAATGGCCATCAAACGTAGGAGTCAACAGACACGCTGTCTTCATTTAATTGGCCATTTCTGTGGCATTTGTTACAGTTGAGGACATCCTTCTTGGCTACCATAACAGCACTCATGGTTGTTCCTTCTACCTTTCCAATGGTTTCTTCTCAAATTTCTTCATAGGTTCCTTTTTTCTTTCAGTCTGCCCCTTTAAATGATGCTGCTTAGGGTTCCATCTTTGGCCCCTTGCTCTTTTCACTTGATATATCACCCATGACAGACCTCATCTACTTATATACTTTCAACAATCTTTTATATTATTTCCCAAATCTCTGTCTTTATCTCAAACCTCTCTCTTGAGTTCCTGGATGCCTCCCAGGATCCCTCACCTTCCCCCCAGTCTGTTCCTCCTCTTGACTTTCTATCAGCATCACCACCTTCACAGTCACCTGAGCCGGGTACCTGAGAATCATGGAAGACTTCGCTGTCTCTTTCATCTCCCAGACCAAGTCCTGTTTACTCTGCCCTCTCAGATTTAATGATCCCTCCCGACTTACAGTGCCCCTGTCTGGTCAGGCCCCCAGTCCTTCCTCGGGAGATTACTGCCACAGCTTTCCACCTCATCTCTCTGCCCCTGGTCTGGCCACCGCCATCCCTTCTCATTCCCGCTTGAGGAAGTTTTCTAAAATGTAAATATTCATCACTGAATATAGTGCCCACTATACTAAACATTTTGGTGTATTATCTTATTCAACTCTCAAAACATCCTTAGGAGGCAAACAGTCATTAGTGTATTTTGCAGATGAAGAGCTTGAAGTTTACACACAGTGACACAGTGACTAACTCGTGGAACCAGAGGCCAAAGTCTGGAGGCCACAGTCTAACACCCCTCGTCTCCAACACATGCTCACGTTCTCTCCAAAGAGTCTCAGAGTTCTGAGAATAAAGTTCAAACTCCTTAATTCAGTGTGTAAGGCTCTTATAACGTGGCTTTGCTTTATGTCTGTATTTTTATCTCTTCCACACACACTGTTTGCTAGAGCCATTCACGATAAATTGAGACTTGCCTAAATGCATGGTATTTGTTTGTTTATTTGCGTTGGAACATTTTGTCAAACATAAGACACTTTACTAAACATCTGTACTGAAAAGAGCATTTATCACAAGTGTTCAAGTCGATTTATTTTCAAAGTATTCAAACCTATGTGATCACACCCAGATCAAGAAACAGAAAGCCTGGACCCTGGAGACCCTCTATGGCCCCCTCCTGTCTTTCCCTCACCAAGGGTAACGAACATCTTGATTTCTAACACTCAACATTGTACCTGGCTTTTTTCACTCAACTATACCCCGAGATTTTTCCATATTAATAGGAAAGATGTGCAGTCCACAGGCATTGGTTGGGACCACTGGTGGGTTTTGGACTCTCCTTGCCCACGATGTTCTAGTTGTTAAAGAATTTGAATATCACCTGCATCGTACTGTTTTATGTAGCACACGTAGTTTCCTCTTAAACTACTCTCGCCTCCTCTTCTTTATCTCTTTCTCCTTCCCTCCTACTCTCTTTAAAAAGCACCCTCTCTAGCCCTGGCCTGTTTGGCTCAGTGGTTAGAGCATCTGCCCTCAGACTGAAGGTTCTCGGGCTTGATTCCCAGTCAAGGGCATGCACCTCGGTTGCGGTTAAAAAGCACCCTCTCCCTAACTATCTCTCAACTCCTGCCCATGACCTAAATCTGACAGATACCTCTGCCTTGGCTTTGTCATACTGGATTGCTGCTTTGATATACTTGCCTGTCTCCTCTCCTAGATCGTAAAGTACGAGAGAGTAGAAACTGATCATATTTACTTTGGTATGTTTTGGCTCTGAGCATAGACCTAGTTTATGGTAAACTTTCAACAAATGTTGCATAAACAACGCCAATGCATGAATGAATGAGACCCACAGGTTAACTGGAGATGCTCCTCTTTTCTTAGAGGTCTTTTAGAAACTCTCTTTGCTTTATGTACGGTTCTTCCTGGCTCACTGACCCGAAGCTACTTCCAGCCCTACAAACAATTGTTGTTCCTCACTTAACCCTGGGACAGAAATAAAACTGGCGGCAGAACTTCAAGTGAACAGTATGTTCCCAAAGACATATGCTTTCCATAAGAGAGTCTGGGCTCTGAAGTGCACTGCGAGGCTCTTGGAAGGATGTTCTAAAAGATGAAAAGGAAAAAAGAAATGAACAGCAACAACGAAGAACAGTACCCTGGGGCCAGGGAGTAGAGGGAATGTGGGTTTTGGTACAAAGAGACTAGTCTGATTAATGCCTGTTGCTGTTTGCTATTTTGGTTTCTGTTTAGATTTATGTTTTGATACCAGACTTTCCTTTTAGAACATGTCAAGTTAGCAGGCGATTGGGCAGTGGGGTCTCTTCCATCAAAATGACACAAGTCTTAAATG